AGAGGGAGAGGGAGAAGCAGGCTCTCCGCTGAGCAGGGAGCCTGATGCGGGGCTCGATCCTAGGACCCTGGGATCATAACCTGAGCCAAAGGCAGCCACCTAACCGACTGAGCCACCCAGGCGCCCCAAGATTTTTTTTTGAAGTAATCTGTACACCCCTTGTAGGGGGCAAACACGTGCCCCACCGACTGAGCCAGCCAGGGGCCCCTATTTGTCTTTTTAAAGATGGTTGTGCTTACGCAAAGTTATAAACACATTCTGTTACATTTTATCTAATACTTTTAGGATTTTTGTATGCTTAGGTCTCTAGTATATGTAGAAATTATTGCCATGACAGTGTGTGAGAATTGTGTGAGGGAGGGGAGGTCTCGATTCATTTTTTCCCAAGTGGATATCCTAAAACCATTTATTACATGGCTCATCATTCCTCGGCTGATGTAAAGTGTTTCCTTTAGTGTTCGCTTTGGCAGCAGATATGCTGAAGTGTTTCCTTTATCCTATGCTAAATACCTACATATCCACAGAACCGTTTCTGGCTCTCTAAAAAATTCCAGTTGTTCAATCCCTCTCTCTCGACACCAACACCACACTCTATTATTTACTAGAGCTTTGTAACAGATTCTGATAGGGCCAGCTCCCTCATTTTTCTTTTTCTAAAGATTTTTTTAAAAATTTTATTTATTTGCCAGAGAGAGAGAGTGAGAGAGCACAAGCAGGGGGAGCAGCAGGCAGAGGGAGAAGCAGACTCCCTGCTGAGCAGGGAGCCCGATGTGGGACTCGATCCCAGGACCCCAGGATCATGACCTGAGCTGAAGGCAGAGGCTTAAACAACTGAGCCACCCAGGCACCCTTGTTCTTTTTCAAAATTTCTTGGCCATGGTGCGTTTTCTCTTCCATGTGAATTGGCTTATCAAGTTCCATGAAAAATTGTCTTGGAATTTTGTTTGAAAGAACACTGATATTATAGATTACCTTGGGGAAAATCAACCCTTGGATTACAGTGAACCTTTCCATTCATGACCGGGGTGTTCCTGTGTGTTTATTCAGGTCTTCTTGTATGTTCTTCAGTAAAGTGTTATAGTTCTTTCTGTAAAGGTCTTGCCCATTTCAAATTAGGTTTATTATTGTTCTAGATTCTTTAAAGCTTAGTATCTTCTCCAGTGCCTCCCTTTTGTAGTTTCTCAACCCTTCCAGAGAGCCCCTGCTGAACCCCTTTGCTTCCACAATGACTTATTGCTAGAAGTCCTGGACAGTGTCTGCTTATGTCCTTGTGGCATCTGGCAAGTGTTTTCTCATCTCAACTGTAGGGTAAATCCCCAAAGGGTCAGGCTTGGGTTCTAATTCCTGCTTTGGGCCCCAGGGCTCTTAGCAGGGGAGAGGGAGGGATTTGTTCACTTGGTCAGTGGGAAAAAGGGAACGTCAGGAAGCCAGCCCTCTGCAGGGAAAAAGTGGTGTCTCTCTCTCAGGTACCTCAGTGTGTGTGTGTGTGTGTGTGTGTGTGTGTGTGTGTGTGGTCCCTGGGCCATCACTTTCTGTAGGAGCCTCTCATGCTTTCCCAAGCAGCTCCTCGCCAGCAGCCTGGTTCAGAACTCAGTTCTGCCACTGCCCCCCTCTGATCTGAGTGATAACGTAGCCGTCTTTGAAGTCTGCCGTAAGCATCCAGGGAGAGGTTGTGCAAGCACGCAGCACTCAGCCTGATTCGCAGGAGGCACACAATGTGCAGGAGCTTTAAGAAAAAATCCATGTATTCATTCATTCATCCCTTGGCAAGGGTGTGTGGAGGACATTCCAATCTGAAGGCAGGGAAGGACACGGACTGTTAAGGTGCAAAAAGGAGGGGCGCCTGGGTGGCTCAGTCGTTAAGCGTCTGCCTTCAGCTCAGGTCATGATCCCAGGGTCCTGCTCTGTGGGAAGCCTGCTTCTCCCTCTCCCACTCCCCCTGCTTGTGTTCCCTCTCTCGCTGTGTCTCTGTCAAATAAATAAAAATCTTAAAAAAAAAAAGGGGGCAAGGGGGGGCTCCAGTGGGGGCAGTTTGGGCAGAGTCCAAGTCCTAGGGCAGATAAGTGCAGTGGGGAGCTGGTGAAGGGGAGTGATGTGATCTTTAAATAGGCTGCTTTCCCGAGGGCAGTTGGTTGGAGGGGATGAGGTTGAGCTGTCCAGGTGAGAAATGCTGGGCTATGGGCTCATGCACACACCTAGTGTGAAGGTTCTGAGGGGTTCAAAGTGCATCACTGTCTCAAGCATCTTCACATCTCCCCAGTATTTGTGGGTCACAACAAAGAGAGGACAGAATAAATGTCCATTTTACAGCTGGAGAAACTGAGAAATGACTTACTCCTTTTAAAGCAAGGCAGGGTGAAGACTTTGCCCCTTGAATAGGTACTTGCTCAGGTCATCACTCGGTCTAGTTCAGAGTATGAACCCCAATTCTCCCCCTTCAGTCAAGGATCAGCTGAAATCTCTGCCCTCCAGGAGCTACCCCAGCCCACTGGGCTCATTCTTTCTGGCATTGGTGTGTTTGGGGATGGCTCCCTTGGTGATACATTACTTATGGCTATCTGTCCGTTCAGCCATTCTTCCATTCATCCATTTATCCGCCCATTCATCCACCCATCTATCTACTCACCCATCCATCTACCCACCCATCCATCATCCATCCATCCACCCATTCCCATTCCCGTACCCAACCCTTCAGCCAACCAGCCAGCCATTCACCCATCATCCATCCATCCATCCATCCATCCATCCATCCATCCATTTGCCCAATCATCCATCCATCCACCCATTCCCATTCCCGTACCTAACCCTCCAGCCAACCAGCCAGCCATTCACCCACCCACCTATGCACCCAGCCATCCACCCACCCACCTACTTATCCAACAGTCACCGAGCCCTATGGTGTGGCTTGTCTGTGCCAGGCACTCGGCTGCTAGAGATGGCACAGGCACTTTCACAGGTTGAATTGTGTCCCCTCAAATTCATATGTTGAAATTGTAACACCCAGTACCTCAGAATATGACTTTATAGAATCACTGCAGATATCATTAGTTAAAATGAAGTCATCAGGGTGGGCCCTGATCCAATACGACTGGTGTCCCTATAAAAAAGGGGGGAAATTCAGACACGTACCGGATGCGCACACAGGGAGAACACCACGTGTAGATGAAGGCAGAGATCGGTGATGCTTCTACAAGCCAAGGAGTGCCAAAGATGGCCAGCAGACCGCCAGAAGCTAGGCAAATGCCTGGAATAGATTCTTCCTCACATCCCTCAGAAGGAATCAACTTTGTCGACACCTTGATCTTGGATTCTAGCCTCCAGAACTGTGAGACAATAAATTTTGGTTGTGTAAGCCACCAAGTCTGTGGTGCTTTGTTACAGCAGGGTCCTGGCACTCATGAACTCCGCTAGGAGAGGGAAGCCTGTGTGATCGTACCTGATCTGGAGGTCAGGAAGGGCTTCATAGAAGAGGTGATGCTATGCTGGACATTGAAAGACTGGTAGGAGTGTATCGGGCAGAGAAGTCAGAGAAGAGCATTCTAGGCAGAGAGAAGAATACATGCAAAACCCAGGGGGAGGCATGAGTGTATGTCAGACACTTTTCCTTGACCTTCACTGAATTGACCTACTTCCGTCGGCCCCGCTGAGCATCTGAGGCCTGGCAACCCTCTGCTGACACCCTTTGCTCCAAGATCGTGGAAAAAAGGATTTTTACCAGGATGCCGCCTGGACACCTCTGGCACGCACCACTCTCCCCAGCAGGGGGCGCTCACGTGCTCTTGCCGGGCACAGGCACCGGGTAACCTCCTGGCATTTGTGAGGGCCCAAGGCCTCCGCGCTGGGGAGGAGGTGCCGTTAGCCCCGCTGCCTGGGTGAGGATGGGAGCTCTGTGTTGGCCAGGGCCCCCCCCATCCCGAGCCCTGGAGGACACACACAGTCACGTGACGCTCGGTACAAGTACTTTATTTGAGTTACAATAGTGCCACACCAAAACTACAGTAGCACAGAACATAATAATACAAAAAATAGATTCCCAGCTCCAAACCCCACGTCCACGTACCCGCGGAGCCGCCAGCCCTATGGCTCCCTGGGCCTGATTGGGGGCGGCTTTCAGAGCCGCCCATCCGCTCAGGCTTCTTTCAGCTCTGGAGGGGTAGGGACAGTGGGGGCTGCTTCCTTTGCTTCCATCCCTGCTGGGCCGGAGCCCTGCTCTCCCCAGACCCCCTGCCGAATGCAGTCTGCACCCCCTCTGGCTGAACCCTCAGCCCCGGGACACTTGATTCTGCGGGGAGGTTCCAGTCCCTGGCGCCGGCGGACACTCTCGAGGACTGTGAGCTTCCATGGGGGAGGCGGGAAGGACGGAGGGGGGCAGAGGAGGTACCGGAGGGCGCCAGGGCTGGGAAGCCCACCTCTGTGTGGCGAGGTGCGTGCGGCAGCCCCTGACTCTGGCTTCTTCTCGGGCTCCTGGCCTACCTTTCCTCTGAAGAGCTACCAGGCCCGCTGCTTGCGGGGACCAGGGACCTCATGCCCATCGTGCCGGGCCCCTTGGGCAGGGAGGGTCCTGGCTGCAGGGGCGAGGCGAGCGCGCTGAGGGGGCACGGCCAGGCCTCGGGCGGCCGAGATGGGCGAGCCGCGACGGGCACTGGCTTCTCTGGCCTCAGGGAGGGACACCAGTCCTGGTTCCCTGACACCACAGGCTGGACTGACCGTGGCGGGGGAGCCTTTCCCTCACAGTCCTCCTTGGCTGAAAACATCGCCAAGTGAGGAGTCCATCTGGCTACAAGTATTGTCTTGACTCAGCCGAAGGGGCTGAGGGTGGGATGGGGCTCAGGGCACGTTCCGGGGTCCGTCAGATTCCCGGCCGTGGCGCCACGGACCTGCCTGCAGGCTAGAGCCCCTGGGCTGCCGTGAGGGGCAGCTCTGTGGACACTGGCAGGAGGGGGCATGGCCTTGCGTTGCAGTCAGGACACTTGAAGGCTTCACTGAGGAGGCAGAGGGGCACCTGGTAGAGGGCTGTCTCCTTGGGGTGCAGCCTGGGCTGCAGCCTCAGCTAAGGCACTAAAGATGGAGGGCGGGCTGGCGGGGCTGGCCGTGGTCCTGGGAGCCAAGCTCAGGCCGGAGCCCAGAGGCAGGATCCGGGCCCTGCAGGACAGGAGAGTGGTCTTCCCTTTTCTCCTTCCCCTGGGGAAGAGGGTCAGCAAGGCAGACCCCGAAGACGCTGGGATGGGAGGGTTGCTGCGGACAGGCAAATGGCCCCTTGGCCACACATGGAGCGGCCAGGAGAGGGCCAGAAAGAGGCTACCTACGGCATGGCAGAGAGCATCTGACACAGGGCGAGGCCTCGCGGGGCTCCTGCCATCCAGGTCCAGGGTGCCTGGGTGCCCTGGGGCTGGGTTTGAAGGCCACGAGCTGGCCTCACCCTGCTGCAGCCATCAATTTCCTGCTGCGACTTTGGGGATCAGACCGTCCTTGTTGGGGTTCCCACTGTTGGACTCTGGGGACAGAGGCAGGCAAGCTGTGAGGGGCAGTGTCCGTGAGGGGGCCTCTGCCCCTTCCTGGCCTCCACACCTCTCCTCTTTACATCTTGTGACCGCAAAACCAGCAGACAGAGGCTGAAATTGCAAACGCCAAGGACTGGATCAGCTCTCTACTTGGGGACATGCTCAGGGGCGGGGGATGGCTGCCTCAGCCGACCTCACAGCGAGTGAGGAAGGAAGGGGTAAATCAGTGGGTCTTCCCTTATCCACAGGTTATTTAGAAAAACAGAATATAATAAATATACCAATCCTTTCCTTAAAAAAAAAAAAAAGTGTTTTAAATGCATTATTTCCCTGAAGATTTCCAGTGTATTCCACAATGTTTAAGAAATAGCTTCCCCAAAAATATATCTTTAAAGCATTTGACACAGTGGTATTCGTGGTGTTTCTGGCACTGGATGTGGGCAGGGGTCCGTGTCCCACTGCCCTTGTCAGTATGGGGCCCAGGCCCTGTAAGCCACCAGCCTAACACCCAAGTGCCCGTGAGAACTGGCACACGTGTGCCTGGGATGGCAGGGTCTTCACAGGGGATCAAATCTTGGATTGTGTTGAGAACCCACATCAGAGGCTCGGTTCCGGCTGGAAGCCCTCCAGTGTGGGGTAGGGGGGGCCCTGGGCGGCCAGGGGGTGGGGCGACACCCCTGACGCTGGGTGGCAAGGTGGCCCGACAGGCTCCACCTGGGGGCTCATCCTCTGTCTTGGCTCAGGTGCTGCCACCCTCACCAGACCTCACACTTGTGATGAGGGTTCATGGGGGAGCCAGGCGGGCAGTGGAAGTGTTCTGAGAACTCCCAGGAGTTAGAGACGGAGCCAATGACCCGGAAGCGGGAGGGGCTGTGAGGATCGGTGATGAGGCCTTCGTGGGAACTCTCAGGTGTGCGGACAGAGCACCAGACCTTTGTGAGGCAACAAGGGAGAAGCTAGGTCACTGTGGGGCCCTGAGACCACCAGACTGCCCCCGTCCACAACAGCAGGGGAATGAGCCCCCACCTGGTTCTGAGACCCTTGGGCATCTGGAGGGGCGACCGGGTGGGTAGGGAAGAGACCGTGGGCTGGTATGTCCCCCATCCCAGCATCCTTTACTGTGGTCACCTCTGTCTGTCCTGGGCCTCTGCATTAGATTTCCTCTGAACAAAGGATTCTGCCCCCAAACCAGTCTGAAAACCTTGAACTGAGTCCTGGTCACTCACATCCTGGGCAGAACAAAAACTGTCTAATGGCCTGGTGGCTCTGGGCACTAACAGAAGACTATACATTAATGCCAATTCAAGGGACCTCCTGGGACATCTTGAGTTTAGGAAATTTCTAGAACCCCTGAACCAGAGGGCCCTTAGCACTCACTTGTCCTCTCATCTACCTGATACAGGAAACCTTTTGATGGCATTCATGGCCCTTAATCGGATTTCTCTACTGGCAGGAAGCTCATCTTCTTACAGAGTAGATGTCCTATGGACAGTCCAGTGAGCTAGAAGTTTCTCAATTAAGAAGCCTTTGGCTCTCAGAGCTCCTGGAATATCAAGATGGCAGAAATGTGCCTGAGTTTGGCATATTTTCCTACAACGAACTCACCTGCGCAAAGCCCAGGAAGAAGAGCTGGTTATTGGTGAGGCCCAGGGTGGGCAATGTCTGCTCAGCCCCATTCTTCTTCACCCAGTTCTGGTAGGCCTGGGAGCAGAGAAAACAAAGTTCAGGGGCTCCCATGACACAGGAGCAAACAGGGCAACGATGGGGGGCCAGTGCGGGAGGCCTCGGGGAGCTCTACCCTGTTGGGGCAAGGACTTGTTTGGGGGAGTCTGGGGTCCCCCCTCCGCCCAGAGGAGCGATCTTCTTCACCAGCACTCATTCCGAGAGGCTTTAAACACCATCTACATGGCCATGGCTCTCAGGTGCATATTTCCAGCTCCAGCCTCTTCCCTGATTTGAATATTCACAGCTTCAGCTGTGATTTCCAAGATGCATCCAGACTTAATATGGCACAGACAGAATGAGGGGTTACACACGTGCATGCACTCACACCCACATGCATGCATGCACACACACTTTCCCACCGTGGTCAACGGCACCACCAACCACCTAGTGCCTCGGGCCCCAACCCCAGAGTTCTTCTTTGAGCTTCTCTTTCTTTCTTTTTTTAAAGATTTTTTTAAAGTAATCTCTACACTCAACGTGGGGCTCGAACTCATGACCTGGAGATCAAGAGTCGCATGCTCTTCCGACTGAGCCAGCCGGGTGCCCTGAGCTTCTTGTTCAATTATCCAAACCACCTAAATCTGGCCACTTCTCACCCCTGCCGTGGCTTCATCCCTTCTCTTGCCTGGACAATCTCACAAGAGCTTGCTAACCAGACTCTTTGACTCGAGCTGGTCCAATTCCAATCCCCTCCCGACACAACATCTTAAGTCATCCTCATAAAGCCAGGGTTGGCAGACTTTCCTGCGAAGGGCCAGAGAGTAAATATTTTCAGCCTTGGAGGCCAGACAGTCTCGGTGCAACTACTCTGTTCTGGCGTTGTGGTGTGAAAACAGCTGCGGACAGCATGGAGCCCAACAGGCCCGGCGGGGGTCCCCCTACATTTTTATTTACAAAAACAGGCTGAGGGCTGGATTTGGCCCACAGGATATAGGTTTGCTGACCCTTGGGTTTTTGTTTTGTTTTGTTTTTTGAAGTTTTACTTATTTAAGTAATTTCTATACCCCATGTGGGGCTCGAACTCATGACCCCGAGATCGAGAGTCGCACGTTCTTCCGACTGAGCCAGCTGGGCGTCCCTGCTGACTCTGGTTTTAAAGGATAAATTAGATCACGTCATCCTCCTGACAGCCCAGTGACGCAGGGAGTGGGTGTTCACAGCCAAGCACACTGTGGCTCAAGGAGGCTAAGTGACTTTCTCCAGAACCAGGACTGGAACCCGGAACTGGCTCCATGACCAGTGTCCCTCCCCTCCCCTCTTGGGCCCACTGCTGCCTGATTTAATGATGCCTATCCCTGCCAAGGTAGGTGGCTCCAGCCTAAGCCCCATCCTCTGTCTGTCAGTCGGGCGGACTCGTCTGGAAAGCCCTCTGCACGCCACGCTCTGTGCGAGGACTTCCGCAGACCTCTCCGTCGGTCCCCGCTACCCGCCCCCCTCCCCGTTCCGCAGATGAGCAAACAGAAGGTCACGCAGCGGCTGCAGCTGGTCCCAGCTTGTCCGTAAAGACCCTTTCCTGAGGAGGCCCCTGCACAGACCCAGACCCGGGCCGGGGCGTGTGGGGAATGATGAGCTCTTACCCGATAGGCCGCCTTGAGCCCCCCGTTGTCGGCGATGTTCTCCCCCAGCGTGTGCCGGCCGTTCACGGGCTCCCCATTCACACTGTAGTTGCCATATTGCTCCACCATGCACTCCGTCTGCTGCTTGAAAGCCTCCACGGACGAGTTCTTCCACCAGGGCCGAAGGTTCCCGTCCTTGTCATACTCTCGTCCTGTGGGTTCCGAGGGAAGCGTCAGGTCAAGGGGGAGGAGGGGGGAGGAGGCAGGGCTCACTGCGCCGCTCCGCCCATCTCTCCTCCCCCATCTCTCCTCCCGGTGAGAAGTGGCCCGCCCATCCTCCCTCTGGACCCACCCGCCCATCCCCCTCCCCCCCAGGGTCTACCCAGCAGCACTGGGGAGATGATGCTGGCCTGGGAGCCAGAGGAGCTGGGAGAATGAGCCAGGCAGTTGGGGGGTAGGTGGGGGAGAGGATGGAGGAATGTGATGTGGGTAAAGGGTCAGCACATTCACGGTTCGGTGTTGCTGGATTCATTGTCAAGGCTGACTGAGGGCCTCGGACCCCGGTCCCACCTCCTCCTTCTTGGCCTTGGGGTCCCCAAGGCAGGAGGGAATGAAGATTCTCGATGTTTTGGTGAGGAGGCGAATGACTTCAACTCCTTTGATGGCAGTTGGCCCAGAGAAGTCTCTGGAGTGCTGGAGAAATGTGAGCTCCCTGCTGACTACTAACACCCACTCCTGAGTACGGGACACCTTCCCGGAACCCCCTGTGTCTGACACAGTCCCCAGAATCACCACACGAGGCTGCAATCATCATGCCCATTTTACAGACAAGGATGAGGAGGCGTGGAGAAAGGACAGGACTCGTTCAAGTTCATTCAAGGGGCAGGGGCAGGGCCAGGATTGAACCCAAACCCATCTGTCTCCAGACCTTTGGAAGTGACAAGAGCAAAGCAGAGGCAGTGGGGCCAGGAGCCAATGTGCCCCGTCTGAAGGGGACCCCAGGAAGCCGTACCTTGATCATCAAAAGCATGAGTCAGCTCGTGGCCCACAACAACACCAATGCCACCGAAGTTTAAGGCCCTGGAGAGGGGGACACAAAGGTGAGGGTGACGCCCCCAAGGGGACATCACTTCCTGGGTCTAGAGACAAAGCAGGGTCCCGCAGGCTCTGTGGGGATGTGGCCACAGCCTGAGCCTCCAGCAAACCCCTAAGGGTAGTCAGAGGCTGGGCAAATGGGCTGTGGTCCGCCTGTAGCCCCTGAAGGCCAAGCACTGTGCTAGACGCTTCACCGAACTGCACTGTCCTCTTTGGTCACCTCAGAAGAGTTTGGTATTAGTGATCGACTGTTTGGATAAGCAAACCAAGACTGGGAACGGTTCAATCACTTTACCCAAGGGCCCCACAGTCAGCAAAGAGCAGACCTGGGATTCAAACCCAGGGCCTTTCTCAGACTGTGCTCTCACACTTTCCACCCCCACACCCCAGCTGTGACTGCTCTAAAACACCACTAGGGGGGCTTTCCCCTAGAGAGGGCACCTGACTTCATGACATGCCCCCAAGCTCCCACTGTGCAGGGGCTTCTGGACCCCGGAGACCCCTGGAGGGAAGCGCAGGGAGTGAGGATGCTGTTCTCGCTGCAATTTCTGAGAGCCCCAAGCTCTCTGGGCCAGTGGGACAAAAAGCCCTCAGGGAGACTGGCTGGCTCGTGGTCAGCTGCGGGCCCCAGGGCCGGGCTGAGTGTCCACGGAGGGCTGGGGGAAGGAGATGGGGTCGAGCAACTCAAGCATCCTACTTGGGCGAGGAGCGGGTGTAGAACGGCGCCTGTAGGATCCCAGCAGGAAACACAATCTCATTCTTGGTGGGCGAGTAGTAGGCATTCACCATGGGTGGGGTCATGCTCCACCTGCATGCAAACACACGAGAAAGCTCAGGCCCAGCTGGTGGGGAGGCAAGGGGGGTTAGCCCATCTGGCAGGTGCCAAGGGCCTGAACCCCAGCCCCAAGGGCACACAAAGACAAGGACATCTTTAGCAGCAGTGTTTTTGAAGGTGATAACCAGAAAACACCCACGTGTCTTCAAAGAAAGGGATCAGTTAAATCCGATGTCACACCACACAGTGGAACAGTCAGGTGCTTATGAAGAACCAGAAAGGTCACTGCTGCTGATCGGTTCTCAAAGTATGGACTGTGGACACCTGGAGGGGTCCTCAAGTCCCTTTCAGGGGGTCTGCGAGGCCAAAACTATCTTCCGTAATAATACTAAGACATGATTTGTCTTTTCCACCGTGGTGACGTTTGCCCTGATGGTGGAAAAGCAATGGTGGGTGGAGCTGCCAGAGCCCATGAGTGAATCAAGGTAGGCGCCCGGGTTGTTCTAGCGGTCCCCGCCTTCCTCACCAGGAAAAACAAACCCATCTCACTGAGGAATATCGCTGAGGAAGTAGCACGAGTTCTTCATGTTTTTTTGTTTTATTTATTTAAGTCATCTCCACACCCAACGTGGGGCTCGAACTCATGATCCCGAGATCAAGAGTCGCGTGCTCTACTGATTGAGCCAGCCAGCGCCCCACGATTACCTAATGTCATTAAATCTAGACCCTTGAGTAGGAGTGTCTTGATATTCGGTGTGACCAGATGGGAAGTCCACACGAGCACTTGTGCTTTTCTCATGGGACCCCGTTTGTACTTGTGAGGATGACTGGCCAACTGGCATTTCAGACTTGGCAGACATCTGGTATCCGGTAGACATCTTGAAAATGAAGTGAGTTTATCACCTCAAGGAAAACAACTGACATCATCTGTTGCCAGTGATAAAAATTCAAGGTTTAAAAAAACTTCGGGGGCGCCTGGCTGGCTCGGATGGTAGAGCATGCGAGTCTTGATCTCTGGCTTGTGAGTTCAAGCCCACACTGGGCATAGAGCTTACTTAAAAAAATAAGAATAAAAAAATTTTTTAAAGAAATTAAAAAATTACGGGCGCCTGGGTGACTCAGTCAGTTAAGCGTCTGACTTTGGCTCAGGTCATGATCTCAGTGTCCTGGGATCGAGCCCCGGCTTTGGGCTCCCCGCTTATCAGGGAATCTGCTTCTCCCTCTCCGTCTGTCTCTGCCCCTCCCCTTGCTCTCTCTGTCTTTCTCAAATATATAAGTAAAATCTTTAAAATCTTTAAAAATATTTTAAAAATGAAAAAAACTTTGAGGTTTCAAGGAAAATTAATTAATTAATTAGTAAATTAATCAGTAAAATTAATTACAAGAACTTGTATCAGTCACCATAAACTTGATAGCTTCCAAACACTGAAAGACTTTTTCTTTATTTAAATTCAATTAGCCAACATACAGTACATCATTAGTTTCAGATGTAGAGTTCAATAATTTATCAGTTGCTAAAGACTTCTCTCAGGAGGTCAACAGTGATATGAACAGAGGTGGATTTTTTTGGATATGGTATAATGAAAATGTCACTATTTAGAGGTATATAAAAGTCAGCAAGCCTTGTTCCAAATGACCAACGCATGATGTTACAAATCATGGCTGGATAAAAGATCCATTCAAAGTGCAAGACAGACTGACAGACTTTAGTGTAACAGTGCAGGAAAAGTTCATGGCTATGGGTTCAGGTTCCACAGTGCAACTAACCTTTAAGAAATTACGACTTGCTGAGTTTTGGTGCAGTTATCAACGAAGGATGTGCACAAATAGAGAAAAGGTTACTAAAGCATCCTTCCCTTTTCCAACTTCATATCTGCACGAGACTAGGTTTTCATTTGGGGGCAGAGGGGCGGAGGGAAAGGGAGGGAATTTTTTTTTTTAAGACTTATTATTTTAGAGAGAGAGAGAGCGCGCGAATGCGTGCACGCATGCAGGGGGGAGCGGCAGAAGGAGAGGTAGAGAGAGCATCTCAAGCAGACTCCTGCTGAGCATGGAGCCCAACAGGGGGCTCAATCCCTCGACCCTGAGATCACAACCGGAGCTGAAATCAAGAGTTGGATGCTTAACCAAGCTGAGCCACCCAGGCGCCCTGAGAGAGAATCTTAAGCAGGTTCCACAACTAGTGCAGAGGCTGATGAGGGGCTCGATCTCATAACCATAAGAACATGACCTGAACCAGAATCAAAAGTCAGATGCTTAACCGACGGAGCCACCCAGGAACCCCTAGATTTTCCTTATACATTTTGAAACAATATATTGCAATAAATTGAACATAGAAGCAAATATGAGAATCCAGCTGTCTTCTATTAAGCCAGATATTAAAGAAATATGCAAAAAGTAAAATAATACTTTTTTTCTCACTAAACTTTTTTTTTTTAAAGATTTTATTTATTTATTTGACAGAGAGAGACACGGCGAGAGAGGGAACACAAGCAGGGGGAGTGGGAGAGGGAGAAGCAGGC